TATGGATGAGTTATAGAGCACTGCTAGTCTTTACTTAAACAAATATATGACTAATTGAGGTGACAAATTTACCAATTTCTTGTAGAAGGGAGCACTAGTCGCTATAGATTAATTAGAGGAAGCACTATGAAAGACTCACAGGTTATCAGAAAAGCCTTGTTTAATTTGGGACACAGAAGGATCAATTTACTCAATTATTTTTTTAATTTTTGCAATTAAATGAACACCAGACAGTTAAAGTGATTCTACTGGCTGAAATGTTTTTTACCTTCATGTATTCTATGCATGAAGGTAAAATACCTTCTGTGTGCAGCAGCCCCCCCAGCCCCCTCCAATCCTTACCTGAGCCCCCTCTGATCCAACAAGGTTCTTTACAGCCTCTGCTGTCTGGGGACTCTTCCTCCTCATTGGCTGAGACAGCAGTGGGAGCCCGTTGGCTCTCGCTGCTGTCAATCACAGCCAGCGAGCCAATGAGTAGAGAGCGGGAGGGGGGAGGCAAGCAGAAACTCTATATGTGTCATGGACGCATAGAGCAGCAGGTCGGAGACGAACAAGCAGTGGTGCCCCCAGGCTTTTCCTGGGGGCATTGTTTGAGGGGGAGGGGCCAGGAGCACTTGCGGGGACCCAAGAAGAAGAGGATTGGCACTGCTCTGTGCAAAATCACTGCACAGAGCAAGTAAGTATGACATGTTTGTAATTTTAAAAAAATGAAGCTTTAGTGTCACTTTAGTATTGTATTATTTTGTCATATGGAGTTGAATTTTTCTTTAACACAAGTTATATTTTGTTTTATTTATTGTCACTTTTTTGATGGTTGGAATTGTATTTGCAAATTGCATAACAGCACTGCTTTATGTTTTGCAATTTTGTTTAAATAATGCGGCAATGTACTTACAGTGTACATTTAGCACAAACAAATGTGGTTTGTAAAGCAGTACACACTTCAGCATCTGAAAGTACACCAGCTAAGAGGTAGAGTGCCTAAAATAATAATACAATTTTCTATGTTGTTTTTCAAATTCATTTGATTTTTTGCATGGATGTATAGTGCAAAGCAAGACTACATAAAGTGAGCACTGATTTTGCAAGAGGTAACATATATAAAATGGCTAGAAAGACATATTTCATGTTACATAGAGCATACCACAGTATACGTGCATGAAAGAGTGTACACCAGGGGCGGATTGACCATTTGGAAACTCGGGCATTGCCCGAGGGCCCGGGGTCAGTAGGGGGCCCCATGAGATGCCCTTTTTCATAGGCTTTTTTGAGTTTGGGCAAGGACACAGGGGCCCCATGATCCCCTATTGCCCAGGGGCCCCATGAGTTGTCAGTCCGCCCCTGGTGTACACTCAAAGAAGTGCAAGCGTATGTACACAATTTCATATGTTTCTGCTTGTGAATGCATGTTACAATGATATACCAGAAATATGCAGCGCTTTGTAATAAAAATAACTCCAATATACAAATACAGTATAGTGTCAGTTTTTTTATTACAAAGCGCTGCATATTTCCGGTATATTGTTTGTTTAATTTCACCCCCTTCCAGCCCTGGCCAATTTTCAGCTTTCAGCACTGTTGCACTTTGAATGATAATTACTCAGTCTTGCAACACTGTACCCATATGAAATTGTTATTTTTTTTTTTTAGACAGCTTTCTTTCGGTGGCATTTAATCACCACTGGGTTTTACATTTTTTTTTGTACTATAAACAAAAAAAAAGACTGCAAATTTTGAAAAAGTGTGATTTTTTTAGTTTCTATTATAACATTTTGCAAATAAGTAATTTTTCTTAATAAATTTTAATCAAAATATATACTGCTACATTTATTTGTTAAAAATAACTCAAATTAGTGTATATGATTTGATCTGTGTGAAAGTTATAGAGTCTACAAGCTATGGTACCAATCACTGAAAATTGATCACAGCTGATCACATGTGATGTACTGACAGCCTCATTTCTTGAAACCCTAACATGCAGGACAGTACAAATACCTTCCAAATGACCCCTTTTTGGAAAGTAAACAGTCTGAGGTATTTAGTAAGATGCATGGCGAGCTTTTTGAAGTTGTCAATTTTTTCCCACAATTCTTTGGAAAATGAAGAAATTTATCAAAATGTGGCACAGGCATACTTGCAAGTACACCCCAAAACACATTCTACTACTTCTCCTGAGTATGGCGATACCACATGTGTGAGACTTTTTCACAGCCTAGCTGCAAAGAGAGGCCCAACATCCAAGGAGAACCATCAGGTGTTATCCACTCTAAGGCCAGCCTGTCTTCTGACACTTTTTGCAAAAATCAATATTTTTCTAGAACTTAGAACCCACAAACATATTATATTTCTTAGTAAAGGCCCTAGAGAATAGAATGGTGGGTTTTGCAAATTTTTATGTCACACAGTATTTGCATAGCGGTTTTTCGAACGCAATTTTATACACTAAAGCAAAAATACACTTTAACATATTTTAAGACATACAAAACGATATAATACCCAATGCTTTTGTAAAACATAAAATATAGTGTTAGGCCGAGGAAATAGATACCATGTCATGTTTAAAAATGCACACGTTTGTGAAATGGCGGGAAACTTCAGTATTCAAAAATCTCCATAAGTGACACTTTATAAACCTTTACAGGTTACCAGCTTAGAGTTACAGAGGAGGTCTGGTGCTAGAATTATTGCTCTCACACGTGTGGTGCGATCGTTGTTTACGTAGGCATACGGGACCAACGCGGGAATCCACCTTTGTACGCAAGTATGGGGATTTGGGGGGCATGTTACATTTTTTATTTATTTATTGGTCAGACACTGGTACACTGACAGATGTTTTTGTCACACTTGTACACTGTGACAGATGTTAATCGTTCACCAGCGGACACTGACAGATTTTGATGTTGCAGTGGAACACTATTGCTGATTTTTTTTGCACTGGTACACTGTGACAGATGTTGATTGGGCACTAATACACTGTGACAGATGTCAATGTGACACTGGTATACTGTGACAGATGTTGATTTGACAATAATACACTGTGACAGATGTCAATGTGACACTGGTACACTGTGACAGATGTTGATTTGACAATAATACACTGTGACAGATGTTTTGTGCACTGGTACAGATGTTGATGCGACACTTGGACAGGGACAGATGGTGCTTGGTGTACTGTGTGGGAATGACTGCAATCTGTGTGTTCTTTGTATAGCTGAACACTAAAATCATCAACTATGCAGAGAGCTTTCACAGGCTGCAGCATCCCCCTCTCCAACCCCCAGCACTGAATTCTCACTGAATCAGCGGGGAAAAAAGCTACAGAGTCATGTGTTTCTGTTTACATTCAGTGATGGCTATGATTGGACGCAGCCATCACGTGATTGGGAGGGCCAATCAGGGAGCCCATATCCGATCTGTGATGTGCCCTGAAGCCGTGCAAGGGGCAGATTCTGAGACGACATTTAGGAACAGGAAAGTTCCCACCCGGCTGTTTATGTACCGGTTAAAAGCAGTTAAAAACACTAATAAGCACAGTAGTAGAAACACATGTTAAACTGATCCAATATACACTATATTGCCAAAAGTACTGGGACGCCTGCTTTTACACGCACATGACCATCCCAGTCCTAGTCTGTAGTTTCAGTATTGAGTTGGCCCCGCCCTTTGCAGCTATAACAGCTTCAACTCTTCTGGGAAGACTGTCCACAAGATTTAGGAGTGTGTCTATGGGAATGTTTGACCATTCTTCTAGAAACGCATTTGTGAGGTCAGGCACTGAAATCGGATGATAAAGCCTGGCTCCCAGTCTGCACTCTAATTCATCCCAAAGGTGTTCTGTCGGGGTTAGGTCAGGCCAATCAAGTTCCTCCACCCCAAACTTGCTCATCCATGTCTTCATGGACCTTGTGCAGTCATGTTGGAACACGAAGGTTCCATCACCAAACTGTTCCCACAAAGTGGGAGCATCAAATTGTCCAAAATGTCTTGGTATGCTGACTCATTAAGAGTTCTCTTCACTGGAACTAGGGGGCCAAGCCTAACTCCTGAAAAACAACCCCACACCGTAATCCCCCCTCCACCAAACTTTACACTTGGCAAAATGCAGTCAGGCAAGTACTGTTCTCCTGGCAACTGCCAAACCAAGACCCATCCATCAGATTGCCAAACAGAGTGTGATTCATTACTCCAGAGAATATGTCTCCACTGCTCTAGAGTGCAGTGGTGGCGTGCTTTACACCACTGCTTCTAACGCTTTGCATTGCACTTGGTGATGTAAGGCTTGGATGCAGCTGCTCGGCCATGGAAACCCGTTCCATGAAGCTCTCTAAGCACTGATGTTGTGCTAATCTGAAGGCCACATGAATTTTGGAGGTCTTCAGCTATTGACTCTGAAGACATTGGGAGCTTCTGCACACTGTGCGCTTCAGCATGAGCCGACCCCGCTCTGTCATTTTATGTGGCCTAATACTTTGTGGATGAGGTGTGCTATTGGTGCTATCTGCTTGGTTCACAAATATTGGATTTATTACTCCAGGGCCGTAGATAATTTTTTTTCCTGGGGGGAATAATTTCATTAACAGTGACCACTGAGCCACCAGCATCTATTGCACAATATGGCATAATAGTGCAGGAGGTCAGGAGTACGTCGTATGAAGGGTTAGAGCCTAACTCCATGTTTATGGTGACTTTAACCACCTTACGCCCACCCTATAGTACAATGATGGGTGCAATGTGGTTCTCTCGTTCTGATAGGACGTCATATGACGTCCTACCATTCTCACTGCGCATGTGCGGCTCAGGGAGCACGAAGCGCGGCGATCGGACACAGCGGATCACGGAAAGAGCCGAAGATGTCGGCTCTGTCATGTGATCAGCTGTGTCCAGTCACAGCTGATCACATGTAAACACGGAAATGCTGGTTATCGGCATTTCTCTCCTTTCGAGCTGTCACGCTGACAGCTCGAGAGGAGAGGAGAGCCGGTAATCGGCTTTCCGCGGAGGGGATATGTACACTGATCATCAGGGCACTGATGATCAGTGTGCCCTGATGATCAGTGTGGCCCCAAAAGTGCCACCTGTCAGTGCTCATCAGTGCCAGTGCCCATCAGTGCCACGTGTCAGTGCCCCTCAGTGCCACATCAATGCCACATATCAGTGCACATCAATGCCACATATCAGTGCCCATCTGAGATGCCTTTCAAGGTCACCCATCAGTGCCAGTCAGTGCCACCTATCAATGCCAATCAGTGCTGCCAGTCAGTGTCGCCTATCAGTGCCAGTCAGTGTCCCTAACAGTGCCAGTCAGTGCTGCCTAACAGTGCCAGTCAGTGCCGCCTATCAGTGCCATTCAGTGCTTCCTATCAGCGCCGCCTATCAGTGCCATATATCAGTGTCATGTATCAGTGCTGCCTTTCAGTGCCCATCAGTGATGCCTGTCAATGCCCATCAGTGCAACCTACCAGTGCCTCCTCATCAGTGCCCATCAGTGATGCCTATCAATGTCCATCAGTGCAGCCTATCAGTGCCCATCACTGCAGCCTCATTAGCGCACATCAGTGAAGGAGAAAAATTACTTATTTACAAAACTGTATAACAAAAACTAAGAAAAAACATTTTTTTTTTCAAAATTTTCAGTGGTTTTTGGTTTGTTTAAGAAAAAATAAAAATCCCAGAGGTGATTAAATACCACCAAAATAAAGCTTTATCTGTCTAAAAAAAATGATAAAAATTTCATATGGGTACAATGTTGCATGACCGCGCAATTGTCATTCAAGGTGTGACAGCGCTGAGAGCTGGAAATTGGCCTGGGCAGGAAGGGGGTATAAGTGCCCTGTAGGCTAGTGGTTAAATAGTTTGTTTGGGCCAAACTAGTTGAAATTAACAATTTAATTTGCTGATAGATATGCTGGTTCAGTGTTACATATACAGCAGTTTGTTTTTCCCATCTACTCCCAGAACAATATCGCATGCTAAATTGTGCAGAAGTCGCCAACTATCTGCAGAGTCAATAGCTAGAGACCTCCAAACTTGGTGTGGCCTTCAGATTAGCACAACAGTGTGCAGAGAACTTCATGGAATAGCCAAGCAGATGCATCCAAGCCTTATATCACCAAGTGCAATGCAAAGCATCAGATGCAGTGGTTAAAAGTATACCACCACTGTACTCTAGAGCAGTGGAGACTTGTTCTCTGGAGTGACGAATCACGCTTCTCTGTTTGGCAATCTGATAGACATGTCTGGGTTTGGTGGTTGCCAGGAGAACAGTACTTGTCTAACTGCCAAGTGTAACATTTGGTGGAGGGGGGATTATGGTGTGGGGTTGTTTTTCAGGGGTTAGGTTTGGCCCCCTAGTTCTAGTAAAGGGAACTCTTAAGGCGACATTTTGAACAATTTCATGCTCCCAATTTTGTGGGAACAGTTTGGGGATGGCCTCTTCCTGTTCACCAGTGCACAAAGCAAGGTCCATAAAGACATGGATGAGCGAGTTTGGGGTGGAGGAACTTAACTGGCCTGCACAGAGTCCTGACCTAAACCCAATAGAACACCTTCGGGATGAATTAGTGTGGAGACTGCGAGCCAGGCCTTCTTGTCCAACATCAGTGCCCTGACCCGACAGATGCACTTCTGGAAGAATGGTCAAACCTTCCCATAGACACACTCCTAAACCTTGTGGACAGCCTTCCTAGAAGAGTTGAAGCTGTGATGGCTGCAAAGGGTGGGCCAACTCAATATTGAACCCTATGGACTAAGACTGGGATAACATTACAGTTCATGTGTGTGGAAAGGCAGGTGTCCCAATACTTTTGGCAATATAGTCTGTATGCCATACCTGGCTGATGCCCCAGAAACTGAAAATGAATGAAATAGACTCTGCTACATCAGTGATCTCTGCTTGCTTCCAGGTCCTATGGTTAGTAGCTGATCTGCTGCATTCTGAACACAGGAGGTCGGCCATTCAGCATGGACGTAATTCAAAGGATGCTTTGCACTTTCTGAATGAATGAAAATAAAAAAAGCGTTCTCTGGTCAGTCAAGGTTGGCGGACGTGCCGTCAGTGTAGCAGGTCAGCTGCTCAGCACAGGACCTGGAAGTGAGTGGAGATGATGGGAGTAGCAGTGTCTGTTTCAGTAATTTCCAGCTTCTGGGGAATCAGCCAGGGATGTTATATACAATGGACCAAGCTGGAACAATATACAGCCAGCCATAGATCACTCCATTACCCCATCAACACAGAGCTATTGTATTATCCTGGTGGGTGAGTGATAGCCATCTTTTCCAGGAGAATACACAATGATTATTGTTGTACATTGTTCAAATCTTGCCTGGCCCCTATTAAACTGGCCAAGATTTGAACTGTCTATGGCTTGCTTAACCAATTAAAATACCGGGCAATTTTACACCTTCCTGCCCAGGCCAGTTTTCAGGTTTCAGCGCTCTCACACTTTGAATGACAATTGAGCGGTCACACAACATTGTACCCAAACTAAAATGTTATCATTTTCTTCACACAACTAGAGCTTTCTTTTGGTGGTATTTAATCACCGCCGGGGTTTTTATTTTTGCTAAATTAACAAAAAAAGACCAAAAAGTTTGAAAAAAAAAAAAAAAAAAGTTTCTTTGTTTCTGTTATAAAAGTTTGCAAATAAATATACGTGTTCTTCATAAATTTAGGCCGAGATGTATTCTGCTACATGTCTTTGGTGAAAATAACCCAAATTAGGATGTATTTTTTAGTTTGTAGGAAAGTTATAGAGTTCACAAACTATGGTATAGATCTGAATATTGATCAATCCTGAAGTACTGACAGCCAATCTAATTTCTTGAGGTCCAAGAATGTCAGAACAGTACAGATATCCCCCAAATGACCCCTTTTTGAAAAGTAGACAGTCCGACGTACTTCATAAGAGGCATGGCGAGTTTTTGAAGTTGTATTTTTTTGTCATAATTTTTCGGAAAATGAAAAAATTAAAAAAATTTGTTTCACTATTTTTACATATTGTCACCAGTGCAGTACAGTGTCATCATATAACTGGCATGGTGGTGATCAGGGACACTGACTGGTGACAGTATGAAAAAAAAAATTATATATATTTTTTTATTTTTGTTTATTACATTTGTTTTATTTTTTTTTAAGATTTTTTTCATATTTCACTATGACCAAAGTAGTATAATGTTACACCATAGTAACATTGTACTACTTTGGGGAAGTGATCAGTATTTTTTTTTTTTTTTTTATAGCAAAGAATTACTTTGCTATAGCAAGCATTTACCTGAATGACATTGATTCATTCAGGCTTTTTTTTTTTTTTTTTTTTTGTGCTTAGCTGTGATTTGGCCACAGCTAATCACATGACATGTGCATGTGATCGCTGTGACCATTCCCAGCTAGACACTGGTATACAATGGATGGCATGAATGAAGCCATCCATTGTATACAACTGTCATGTGACCTGCTGTGATTGGTCACAGCAGGTCACATGGTACCGGCAACGGGGGCGGTACTCGGATCTGTCATCGGCCGTGTCCGAGGTACACGGCCGGTGACAGATCGCGCCGCTGTGCCGCTCTGCAGGAGCGCAATCTGCGCATGTGCGGGAGGACGCCATATGGCGTCCACCCGGAACGCTGATGACATTTGCCGCCCGCCATCGGCCATAGGGCGGGCGGCAAATGGTTAACTGTGTATAAAATATCCATACTTCGAATTCTTCATTAAATTGAAGGCAAAACCCCTAAAATTGGTGTCAGTGGATGCAATAAATAACCCCAACATTGGTGTCAGTGGATGCAATAAATAACCCCAACATTGGTGTCAGTGGATGCAATATTAAACCCCAACATTGGTGCCAGTGGATGCAATAATAACCCCCAACATTGATATCAGTAGGCGCAATAATTTCCCCCAGCATTGGATGCAATAATAAACCCCCAAATTGGTGTCAGTGGATGCAGTAATAAATCCCAAATTGGTGTCTATGGATGCATTACTAAACCCCAAAATTGGTGTCAGCGGACGCAATAATAACCTCTAGTATTGGTGGCAGTAGATGCAATAAATAACCCCAACATTGGTGTCAATGGATGCAATAAAAAAAAGCAACATCGGTGTCAGGAGATGCAATATCAACCTCCAGCATTGGTGTCAGTGGATGCAATAATAACCTCAAGCATTGGTGTCAATGGATGCAATAAAAAAAAACAACATCGGTGTTAGGAGATGCAATATCAACCTCCAACATTGGTTTCAGGGGATGCAATAATAACCCCCAACACTGGTGTCAGTGGATGCACTAATAACCCCTAGTAATGGTGGCAGTGGATGCATTAATGCCCATAGTATTGGTGGCAGTGGATGGAATAACAACCTCCAACATTGGTGTCAGTGGATGCATTAACAGACCCCCGAATTGGTGTCAATGGACGCATAAATAAACTCCCAAATTGGTGTCAGCAGATGCATTAATAACCCCTGATCCTGGTGTCAGGGGATGCAATAATAACCCTCAACATTGATGTTAGTGGATGCAATAATAACCCCCAGCATTGGTGTCAGTGGATGCAATGATAACCTCCAGCATTGGTGTCAGTGGATGCAATAATAACCCCCAGCATTGGTGTCAGGGGACGCAATAATATCCTTCAACATTGGTGTCAGTGAATGCAATAAAAAATTCCCAACATTGGTTTCAGTGGACACAATAATAACCCCCAACACTGGTGTCAGTGGACGCAGTAGTAACCCCCAACATTGGCATCATTACTATTAACCCCAACACCCACATAGATGGTCAGTGGAACTGAAATGTTTCCCCTCATGACCACCAATGCGGGGGGGGGAGGTGGGTTAACTTGCGCTGTATGTGCACAAATGCATGGTGGTCAGTGGCAGTAAACCACCATCCCCATCCTGCAGTGGTGGTCACGGCAGCAACATTTTAATCCATCTCTATCCCCCCCTTTAAGCATGTATAGTCATACAGTGCAAGTCAAGTAAACCCACCTTCCCCCACATTGGTGGGTATGGGGGGCGGGGTTAATTGCAGCTCCACTCAATGTCAGTGTCCTCGAACACTGCCCAAATGTTGATGAACAGTTGAACACATCACTTACCTAATCAGAGTTTCCTGCCGTCCCGCTCTCTCTCTCCCTCAAGGCCAGGACTTGCTTGTACTGTGGGCAGAGATATCTAATTTCTGGGTGCTAGAACGCAGAGAGCGTTCCAGTGTCTGACATCTTGCTGCAATGCACACTCTGGACACAAGCAAAGAGTCGTTCTGTTGTCTCCATGGCATGGACATAGGTCGGGAACGGGCAGCTGCTGCTGTGGGACAGCTAGCAAGTATGCCCTGCATCTTCAAAATCTTGTGCAAGTGCGAGGAGACAAGCTGCCATGCAGCTCCTGCAGCTACGGCACTGTGGATGGATGCTCTGGGGGGGGGGGAGGTTTGGACC